AAAAAAAAGCAGTGACACAAAAGAGTAGAATTATGACAAAAAGGAATTTCATAGTGACAATGCTCAAAAAGGTAAAAAAATGGCAAAAAAGGACTAAAATGTGAGAGTTTTGATAAGTCTGCAAGCCCCTTTGTATGGCTCAGCCTAACAAGTTCCCATGAATTCAGAACAAAGGCTCATCAACAGCGAGATCAAAACCATCCTCGTACTGATCATCAAACATCATGCCAGGCACATAGTCGTCATCCATTACGGCGCCTTCATCACACGCAATACCCCCTTCTATTGTATCCAACCACTGTGCATTATGCCAACGGAATCTCTCACCAGCGATGCGACGAGCCCATTCTTGGGAATGCTCCTAAACAAAAAAGTTGTAAGTGAACACACGGAAATTAGGAGGTCCGCTACTCACCCCTATGATCACTAAGGCATTGTCACACATCTCGCGAATCGCTGGATTCTTGTCATGCATGAGGTCGATTACATAAGCTCCCAATGCTGAGTCTGATCCCATTAGCCGATTAGCGAGTTCACGGTGTCGCAACAGTTGCAGAAACAGGTAAAGCAGCTGCACCACGAATTCGTCATCCTCTTGCATAGCTGATAAAGAAGAAATAACATGTCCACAAGTGAGATGAAGTAAGAATCTTCAAGCTAACTATGGAGGAGTTGAAGAAAAACGTCTAGAAGTGGCACTAAGTTTCGAGCTGCATCAATTTGTCGGGCCATTGTACCGCACATCACAACTACCTGGAAATTATTTGTCCCCCAATTTATAAAAATCCTTAAATTTCAAATTACCTGTAACTGCAATGGCTCAATCTCGCCAGCAGGACTCTTTAAGCGTTCACCCATCCAGTTCACAAGATTATGCGATGCACATAAACTAAATAAGTAAATCAAACCCACTCCACAAAAAATCGATTGATTTCAAAAAAATGCCCACTTGCTCCAATCGGCGACTCTGATGACCGCGGCAGTGCCGATGAACTCCAATCCCAAAGCTGCGTTCTCATCCTCGGGCAGAATCGAATTTTTCATTCCTGCTTCGAGGAGTCGAGGCATTACACTCTAGAAAATCATCATGGTGCGCAAATACAGAAGAAAGAACAAAGCACTTTTATGCTTACCACGAACATGTCCTGCGTTGGACCCTCATGACATGCAATACTGCGGACAATTTTTGCCACCATCAAGTCTCGTCCGTCTAGTGCCGCATCCAGTAGAAGGGAGAGTCTAAGAAAAAGACGATCATGAACTGAACAGCGATCATTGATTGAAAAGTTTAAAAGGTTAGTTTTGGAAATTATAAGAATGAATAAAAAATATATTAACAACAGAGATGATCTGTATCACAACAAGTCTCATAAAATAAGGAATTGTGCAGCGAATATTCAGAAAATAGAAAATAAATAACATAGATATGGCACAAATACAGAATGATTGAAATAAAGAGAAAAAATTACAGTCTAAAGCTAACCAGCTTAGTCATTTTTGGAAAAAAAAAGTTGGCTTTCTCACCTTTACTTCATAACGATGAATATGCAAAATTAATGCTCCACGCCTTTTTTTGCAAGATGTTCTTGTACAAAGAGTAGAGACAGGAGCGAAATCAAGTCAAATAATTTTGAGCAAAACAGTAAATATAGATAAGCTTTCAAAATGAAGAAATATATTTGAAAGCAAAATACAAAAACTATAAACACAAATTGACAGAAGAATATATTTGTGGAAAAGCTGTACTTCAAACCCACCCCTGGCCATCTGGACCACATACAAGCTGCGCATTCCT